TCTACATTTCCACATCCTTTAACTACTACTCGTATGTATGAAGGACAGAAATTATCAAAAATTATTATTAAACACAATTTTGATTAAAGGAAAACAGACAGCTTTAACATCCAGTTCACCATTAGCTATTAATTAAGTTATTCGACAAAAGTTTAATTAAACATAAATTTAATTATTAAGCCAGACAAAAATCATAATAATAAAATAAAATACTAATATCTGTTATGACTTAATTTTTATTTATAGTAAAACATATTTTATATTTTATATGTTTAAATGTACATTAAATATTTCTCTGCATCACTTTACTCATTAAAACCAATTAAATACAAAACATAACATAAATTAATTAGTTAGTAGAGTTATTAGATAGAGAATAGATGGGATTTGTCATCTTAGAATAATATAATGAAAACAAACCTATGCAAACAATAAAAAATCTTTAATATTTAATATTAGGTACATAATAATTTATAATTATATCATAAAAGATGAACTACTTCAGATATTTCATAAACACCAACGACTTGACTTGAAGATCCAACGACTTGACTTGAAGATCAATTGACAGCAAACAACACATAAAACAATAAAAAAATCTCAATGCAACAATTATATTCAACAGATAAACATAATTACAAATTTCAGTAATTGATTAATGTATATTACTGATTTTGACACTTGCCTATTTTACATGAACCAATTATTTTCATGGCACGTTTTCCAGTAGCCTTGCTTGTAAACTTTCCTGAACGATGACAATAATAAATGCTCATGGCTACAGTTTTATCTTTGTTAAATCTGGACCATCTTTGTTTAATAAAGCGCGACAAAGTACTTACCTCTTCATTTGATTTCCATTCTTCAAACTCTATAAATAATTATGGTAAATCAAAATATTGATTTCATAAATAAGTTAAGTTAGTGGTAAATTCAAGTAGTATATTTACCCTGAAAATTAACAAAATTTAATTCAATATCTGTATCTGGTTTTGAAGATGTAATTGTGCGTTCATGTAATTTCATGTGCCTTATTAAATTGCATTTTTTGCTAAATTCAATAGTACAATGTGCGCACACAAACATATTTGAATAATATATTAACTTTAAAAATTCAAATTTCAAAAAATGTTTTGCGATTTGAAAATTTTTAACGATTATAACATTATGATCATTGATAAGGTATTTGCTCTTGTGCTTGATAAGATATTTGCTCTCTTGTGCTGTCTCTAGACGCTAGTGATAAAATACTGTTGGCTAAAATACGGTTCTGCTAATTGACTTGTCCAACCAATTATTTTTCGGCTAAAATACGGTTTGGCTGATATATTTTCGGCTATTATACGCGCTCACCTAATGGCCACCACCAATTTTTAATTTTGGTAAAAACCCCACTGCAATAAATGCAACTGAAAAAAATATAAAAATAATAATATTTTAAGAACATAGTAAAATTATAAAAGTTAATAAGACATTTGTATGAAAAAATAAAATATAGCTTATACTGAATAATATTAGTTTGCAATAATAAGTAGAAGTATTAATTTGATGCATAATCATAACTTTAAAAAATCAAGTATTAGATCTTATTGAAAAGAAAAAACTTATTAGTTCATATTAAATTAATAAAAATAAGCTATTCAATAAATACACAATTTATTTAAATAGAGTATTACCTAAAAGTTAAAATTTCAAAATTAATTAATTGTTAACTAATAAGTTATTTCAATGAATATTAGTATATTTTTTAAATAATGAAAACAATAATAAAGCCACCCAATTAAACAAAAAATTTTATAATTACATATTTAGATTGCAATACTTACTTAATAGTAACAAGGCTAAAGCATAAAACATCATAAAACAACTTATATCAATCAGTATTCCAAAAACAATTATTCCAAATATAGCACCTAATCGACCAGTCATCACAATCATTGAAAATGCCACTCCCCTAAATAAAAACAGCACTTAATAATATATGATTAACCTAACGTTATTTATTTTAAGTTTTAACTATTACCTCACATTACTGGGAAATAGTTCAACAATAGAACAAAATATAATAGGTTCTGTTAATGAAGTAAATCCTTCAAAAACGCAACACATTAATTCTGCTTGTAGATCGTTATAAGTTCTTGAAACCAGTAATGCGAACACAACTGGAACTCCACAAGTAATAACTATGAACATATTTTCAACTTATTATAACAACAAATTGGATGAAAACTAAATTTTTTAATAATTACAAAGGTTTTTATAAATATAAAATCAAATACATACATAACAATAATTTTTTGTTACAATATTTAATTAAGATCCCAGTAAGTAGAACTAGAGGTATTGATGAACATGCCACAATTAATGCAGCTAAATAAGCATTGACTGAAACTGTTTGTCCAGCAGACATAGAGTTATATACTAAATGCCATTCTGAAGCTATACATATATTTACACCATCTGTATTTTGTTGTTTGTAATTAGAGTATCTAGAAAACAATTCCGGCACCCATACAAGAATAGTTATATACCTGTAACACGTAAAAGAAATTATAAATTATTTTCAAATTAGATGTCACCTACTTTGAATATTAAGGAAGAAACTTGTGCTAAAATTATGTTTAATTTGAAAACAAATATAGATGCACTCGAAAAACAGTTTTAATTTATTCAGACTTTAGTTTGATTCATTTTACATCTTAATCTTAAAGGATTCATATTATTTAAAATATTATGAAAATTATAAAAGAGATATTTTCTATTATAACTTTAATTTTTAAATTTTTGTGATCTATATATTTTTTTTTTTTTAAGTTAATATTATATATAGGTAAAACGATATATTTTATGATCAATTATTAATTTTTTTCATAATTTTTATTATTTATATGATTTTAAATGCAAATTTTCAATACTAGTTTTTACCGCACTTTTAGTTACTACCGTCTAAAATAAAAATAAAATGAATAACTTACGATGCCATTAAACAAAATTCTATAGTACAAACTACTATAATATTTCTGAAGTATTTAGAGAATAATTTTATATGATCATTTTTTAGAACAATTAATTTTCTTTTAACATTTTCCATGAATGGAATGCCTCCAATAAATCCTGCATCAAACCGAATTGCTGAACGGGTTTGAGTGAAAAATTGCACCTATAGTTGAATAATTTAAATGTATAAATATTTAATTTACTTATATTCACAATTCAATAAAGTACTTATTTTAAGTCACATTTATAAAAAAATTTAAATACCTATTTAAGATAGGTAATAATAATATTATCTTATAATATTTGCAAATAATTAATTTTAGGTAATTTTACATGAATAAATGAAGTAGGTACCTGTACTGTTATAAATTGTACCTAATATTGAAAACTATTAATCTTTCATTAATTTATATTCAAATAGTTCTAGTAAAAACTATATGAGTTAGACTATGTACTATTCTTTATATATCTTTTCAATAAATGTTAGTAATATTTGTATACTGTTTTAATTTTTAGATATTCTGAGCATGAAGGGACGAATGCTTGGATTTTAAAAAGAAATGTTTTTTTCCATCTATCACCTTTCGGGGCAGTTAAAATAGTTCTATTTTCAACTTTTCTTTTTTAAATTCTTTTTTCATTACTTACATATTTATAATTTTTTTAATTTTTTACTTTTTCTAATGAAAACTTACACTTTTAATTCTATATCCTAAAGCAAATTATATCTTGGTACATTTTAATACATAATGATTGAAATTCGAACGAGCAGTTTTTGAGTTTTAAATATTTAAATTTTAAAGCATAGGTGAATACCTCTCAAAATATTGGCCTACTACTTTGTTCACTATGACTTAAATATTTGTGGCTTATAAACTATTTGTTTGAATTTTGTTTTTTATGTATCAAAATACTCCGAAAAATATTCTGTTTTAGAATATAAAACTAAAAATGTATGTTATCATTCAAAAAAGTAAAAAACTTAATAAATATAACAATCAAATTTTTTTTTTACTGTAAATTATATAAAGAAATATTTTCAAAAATGTTAATATAATTAAAAAAGATAATTTTTTCATAATAGAAAAATCACTTTGTACCTACTCAATAGATACTTGCATGAAATGTTCACAAAATATTGATATAAGAAGTTTCAAAATATTCCGAATCTTTTATAATTGTTTAAAGACAATTGGAATTTCTATTTTTACATTGATTAAAAGATAAAAAGAATACCTTTGGATAAAATTGATTGACATTTTAATATAAGATTCCTAATAAGTTATTCATTGCCCAATTAAAAAAATAATTTTATTTATAATCACAATATTTTTATGAGCTTTGTTAGTTTTAATTTTGACAAAATTTCAAAAATCATAAATTATTTTACACTAGGAAATACATTAAAATTTTCTATTTATATCTAAACATTTTTAATACAAGGTTTTTTATAAGTTATGCAGTCTGTATAAAAAAAAAATTCTGTTAGAGAATCAATTAAATTTTTTAAAGCTATTTGAAATTCAAATTGATATGACATTGGATATTCAACTATTATAAGTATTATATTTTTAACTACAAGTTTAAAAATTATTAAATAATATTTACCGGATACGGAATTGATGTAAAGTTGTTGTTAACTATATAAATTTGTTCCAGAATATCCCTGGATTTTATTAAATAACCGCGAAACATTAAAAATCGTGGAGTTTCCGGGTAACGATATATCAATACAAATGAAATTAGACTTGGTATAGAAGTTAAAAGTATAAAAAATCTCCAAGCATTAAATTTGAAGTACGTAGATGAAATAAAAACAATATTGCTGGGAATCATCACCATAGCCAAACCTAAAACAAATAATAAATATATTTAAAAAATAAGTTAAATATACCTACAGTTCATTAAAAATTAATTTGTTCAAAAAGTATTTTGTTTTTTTTTAATTATATTTATACATTTTACATTGGTAAGTTTAATGTATACGACTGATATTCAGTAAAATGGTGACCTGACAAAATATTTTTTGAAAAAATAACTCAATATTATTTTAATTTTATTATTTAACATAGTATCCAATAATACAATAATTTTAATACTACCTACTTTAAAACAGTTCACAGTAAAAAAAAAAAAAAACCTAAACTAATAAATAAAAGTAATAAAATAATTAATTATAATATTTAATTTATAATAACATATCTGTTATCAATAAGTGCAACAAAAAAAATATCTTGTGAACAAGAAGTCAAGAAGGTTTCTACTCTAAAGTTTAAAGTTAACTTGAAAATAATAAATATGGGGGGAATGAACTTAAATATTATATATTATCAAAATCCAAAGGTAATCGCGATACTTTTTAAAGACAATAAACTTATAATAAGTTGAGGTCTTTAGAGTAAGTATCAACAGGAAAATTCTGATATTGTATTACTATTTTAAAATCAAAGCTAGGTACTTATTTTACATACCCATTTCCAATTAAAAATAACTTTTACCAAAACATTTAAAAATATTCTAATTTTAGTACCTACTCTACCAGTTTTTAAATTTGTATTTTTATAATAATAAATGTAGCTATTACTAACAGCACTTGATGTAAATATTTCTACTACCCATAATAATGTTCTTTTTGTTATTTTTTAATAGAATACAATTACTTATGTATACATAAGAATGATTATTAATTACTATACATAAAATATAAATACAATTTTATTAACAATAATATTTAAGAAATTTTGAACTAAGTTATTTTTTTAAAAATATTATAAATTATTAAAAATATACAGTAGATTGTGCAAACAATTAAATACACATATATATATATTTTTTTTTTAATAACATCTTGTATTTAGAAAATCAGGATCGGAATCCTATTTATGATCATAATGTTATAATATGTATTATGCTATTATATGAATGTAATGGAATTAAAAAATAAATTAATACATAATATAATAAAAGTTAATATCTTTTTAAAACTTTAACAAAATTTTAATTTTAAATGTTAATAGTAATAAGTATATTTACTAACCGGGTCCAACCATCATTCCGAAAGCCCAAAATAATTCAAGAAAAAGTAAATAACTGTCTCTTTTCGAAGGTATTAAAAATTCGCCCATGTACACATAAACCATGCAAGTAGCTCCAATTATGCTGAAATTAATATTTTTATAAAAAAACACCATAATATAAAACATAGGAAAAATATCAAATTATCGTACTAAATCAAAAATTTGTATGTGGGTAGGTATAGCTGTGTAGATACTGTATAACAGGGGTAATACGGAATTGGTTACCGGGTCAAATAAAAGTGTATGAATTGGTTCCCGAAAAAATTACATTCAAATATGCAACTGTTCGAATTGGTTCCCAAATAAAATTACTTATAGTTGGGGCCCGGATTTCGTTGCAAAATACATTTTTTTTGGTTAATCTTAAACAATGCTTTCCAAGTTTATAATTTGATTCATGTAACAAAGACTTCAAAGGTGAAATTTTTATTTTGCATTTTTTGTATTTTTCAATCATTTTTTCTTGTTTAATGCATATTTATAAAATATACGAGTATAATAATATATAGTATTTATACATATTACTGTCATAGATTAAATAAACTTAGAATATTAAATCTATGATACTACTTATTTTTTTTTATCATCAAAACTTACAGGAACCAATTCGTATGTTACCTGTAGACAACCCGGGAACCATTTCGACAATTGGGAATCAACTCTCGTAGTCGTCTTATACAAAATAGCAGAATTTCAAGACGTTGATTTTAAGGAAAAGTAAAGTTCGATTCTTATTTTATATATACAGTTTAAACAATTTTATTTAATACTTATTAGTTATTATTACATATTATCTATACACTAACATATAATTTAATATTTATATATTATAACTTACGCAAATCCATTTCCTACTCTTATTATGAAAAACAATCCAGCATGCTGTACCAAAGAAGAAAGTATAGTAAATAATGCATCCATTCCCATTGATCCTAAGATAACAAATCGCCTTCCTTTTAAATCACTACAAATGCCCCAGAAATATGCTCCTAGTACCATTCCTAATAAAAGGTCAAAAATATATTAATAATAATTTACACATTTAGTGTAATTTTGTAAAGCTACATATTTTTAACATTAATAATGTTAGATATTATTAGACGTGCAAAGAATGAAATTTGTGAAAATTTGCAATGTCGGCGAAGTACTTAAACTAGGTAGTCAGTACTGAGCACAAAACACATTCTCTACGTATACTACCATGCAGTCTACGAGATAAACTTACCAAGAAACGGAGCTCCATTTATTACTCCTTTTGTAATAGAATTTAAATTAAAATCTACTTCAGCTGCAGGCGAAATAAACGATACGGCCGTTGTTGAAATCGCACATGACATATTTACTAAGCCACAAACTATTAATAAGAAAAATTGATATCTTCCTGTTCCTATAATAATAATTATATAATAAATGTTATATACTATGATGTAAGCAATAACCAAAATGTATAAACATTTTTGTAAAGTTATAATTAATTACCATATAATCTTTTCATACCTACCAGAAGAAATAAACTTTTGTATAGAGGTCAAAGTGTTTACATTTTTAACTTATTGTGGAACTCATTCATCACATAATTAAATCTAGCAGTGAATATATGAGAAACTACTATAGTTATATACATCATTACCTACTTTTATGTTACAAAAGTATACTTGCTTGAAATACATTTTTAATTTAGATTAAAAATCAAATACAAGAAAACATTTTGAATTGAATTTTACTTACCAGACTCTTTCTGGGCTTCTTCAAATGTTACTAGTGAATCTAAAATCAAATAAAAGATATATTAGTTAGGTACCTAGTACTTACCTACCGGATATCTCGTATATTTATGGCATAATTATATTTCTTTTTACCATCATCATCTAATGAGCCTTGTGCTAACAAAGACAATCTCCCAACACCATCAACATGATGATTATCCATTATTTTTAACGATCAAGGAAAATAAATTTCTAAAAGAAAAATAATAGTCGAAGAGTTGAATTGAAATTTGAAATGAGTGATGGCAAATTGGCAAATAATTCAAATAATAACAGTAATAGTTATTTATAACAGTTACTCAGTACACAGTTAGCTGTATGTACTAACATAAGCTGTTACTTTGAAGAAAATAACAGTTATTATTTTGTTTTGATTTTAAAATTATAGTGTAATCAAAGAAAAATATTGTGATTATAAATAAAATTATTTTTAATTGGGCAATAATAACTTCCTATTAGGAATTTTATATTAAATAAGTAATCAATTTATCCAAAGGTATTCTTTATCTTTTAACAATGTAAAATAGAAATTCAATTCCTTAAAGAATATAAAAGATTCGGAATATTTGTGAAATTTTTATATCAATATTTGAAAATTTGCCAAGTATCTATTGATGATGTGCTGAGGATTTTCTTATTATGAAAATTATTCTATTTTAATTAAATTAACACTTTTGAAAATATTTTTATATAATTACAGCAAAAATTTTGATTGTTATTATTAAGTTTTTATTTTTGAATAATAAACATACATTTTAGGTTTTATATCTAACAGAATATTTTCGAGCATTTTACGTACATAAAACGAAATTCAAACGAGAGCACATGCAACTGAACGAAGCATACCGTA